TTTTTTGTGGAACCAGGGATTGAACTCAGGCCCTTGCACTTGCCAGGGAAGCCCTTCTTCCACTGAGCCATCTCCCCACTCTTCAAATTCTTAAGTATTGCTAAGTTGTTTCTCAAAGTTGTTGCAAAATTTACCATTCCTAAGTTATTTCTTTAAATTAATTTCATTGAGAAACAAATAGCAATGAGACAGTTTCAAAACCAATTAATAGGATACCGTTCCTAAGTTATTAATAATATTCTTGCCAGGCATAGTGGTGCCCACCTGTGATCCCAGCACTCAGGAGACTGAGGCAGGAGGATTGCTTTGAGTTCAAGCCCAGCCTGGGGTACATAGCGAGTTCAAGACTAACCTGAACTACATAGTGTGACCCTGTCTCAAAAAAAAAAAAAAAAAAAGCTGGCGAGATAGCCCAGTGGTCTAAAGCGCCCGCTTAGGCAAGCTTAGGCAAAGCTCAGGTTCGAGGTTCAATCCCCGGCACCACCGCATCAGCCCCTCCCCCAGGGCGGGCTGAGCCAGCCACACACACACGAAGATCTTAATGTTAGTATACATACCAATGTATATGGGCTGCAGTTTCTCTGTATCCTCACTCGTACTTGCTGCTACCTTTTTTTTCTCAGTCCTGTGCTAGTGGTGTGATGTGTTTTTATTTTGAGATGGGATCTCCCTGCTTGCCCAAGCCTGTCTCGAACTTGTGACCTCCTGCCTCAGCCTTCCAGAGTGCTGTGATCACAGCTGCGTGCCACCATTCCCGGCTAAAAACAATTTCTTGGACCTGGGCTGTGGCTCAGTGGTACAGCACTTGCTTAACACGCACAATGCCCTGCATTTCATCCCTAGAATGGACAAAGGAAGAAGAAAAGGATGGTCTGTCACTCAAAGTCTAGTCAGGGAGACAGACCACTTTTTGGTTTTTTCTTCCAGTACTGAGAGGCTGAAGCAGGAGGATCCAGGTTTGAGTCCTGCTTGGGAAACAAACATAGGGAGATGCACCAGGGATTTCAGCAAAAGAGTTTGGAGTAGGGGATGAGTGAAGTGGGGTTAGAAGAGTTGAGAAGCTAGATAGGGTGATCAGGGGGCCTGGCGATCAGCCACAGCAGATGAAAAGACGGAGCACAGGGGTGACCTGAGAAGACTGCGGGACGCACCACGAGCAGCTCTCCCGACCAACCACAGCGGAGAGTGCCAAGTGCCCGCCTTCTCCCTTCCTCCCCAGTCTCCAGGCTCCCTCCAGCCTCTCCCAGTGGACAGCCACAAAGCTCCCTGGAAATGTAGCTTTCTGGACAAGGGCAGGGTCCAACTCTGATCCTCAGGTCCCCACAAGGACCAAGAGCAGAGACATAAACAAAGTCAAGGAACAGAGCATGTGGGCATCGGTGGTAAAATTGTCCTGGGTAAAAGAAAGCAGGTGCGAAGGCCCTGAGGTGGGAATCAACACTGTAGGAGTGCGTGTGATGGTACCAGGTACAGAGCATGAAAGGAGGACAGGCACAGGAGGATGCCTTGGGGGGACAGAAAGATGTTTCGGGAGGCCACTTTGAGCTAGTGAGCTGGTGTGCAGCACCAGGAAATGATTCAGAGTCCTTGAAATCAGGGAGATGTGATTTTCAAAAAGGGAAAGACGGGCCTGCCAGATAGCTCAGAGGACTAAAGCGCCTTGCCTTGCCGGCCCTGCCTGTGGGGATCGCTGAGAGGACGATTGAGACTGGGCGTGGTGGCGCAGGCCTGTAATCCCAGCACTTGGGAGGCTGCAAACAGGAGGATCACTACGAGTCTGATCTGTGTAGTGAGACCCTGTAGACCTTCTACTAAATACATTTAAAAAAGAAAGAAAGAAAGAAAGAAAGAAAGAAAGAAAGAAAGAAAGAAAGAAAGAAAGAAAGAAAGAAAAATGGATGGGCACCTGTGACATATGGATGCCACTGGCTTTTTGGAGGCGCAGAGGGGCCTGGGAAATCTGATAGGCCTGTCTTCTAGTCCTGGCTCCCCTCCTGCTGCCACTGTGGGCTGGCCCCTTTACTCTGTAGGCCGTTTGTATGCCTTTAGGGGGCCACGTGCACCTGGGACATTGCAGCCTACACCTTTTTTATTTTTTTTCAGTCTGTACTCTGAAAGCCCATTTGCAAAATGTGCAGCGCTCATAAAGGGAAGCTTCAATATCAGTAGGCAAGGGTTCGTCCTTTTTGAGAGAGGCAAATAATAATAATGGCAGCTCCTATTTATGAAAAATGTATCAGGTTTCAGACACTGCAAAGACCCTGCAAAGTGCAGTGTGAGCCCGGAGGCACCCCCCTTCCCTCCGGCTCTTTGTGTTCCAGCTGCGCTGGCTTCCTTACCCTCAATTGCGCTGCCTCAGGGCCTTTGCACTTCCTGCTATGGTTGCTAGAAACTCTTCTCCAGGAGATCCCGAAGATTCCGTCCCTGATGGTCTTCAGATCTCTGCTCCTGACTTTTTTTTTTTTTTTTTTTTTTTGGTACTATAATCTTTTTTTTTTTTATTTATTTATTTATTTATTTATTTATTTATTTATTTAGTGTGTGTGTGTGTGTGTGTGTGTGTGTGGCCAGCTCAGCCCACCAGGGGGCAGGGCCGGCTGGCATGTGGTGTTGGGGGATAGAACTGCGGTCCTTGTTCTAAGTAGGCGCTCCAGACCACTGAGCAATCTCACCAGCCCATGCTCCTGACTCTTACCTTCTCCAAACACCTGTTTACTTACCCTCCCCTCCTGCTTGTCCCGATCCTCTTTTGATATCCTGTTTGTATTTCGGGTTCTTTCTTTCTGGTCTGGCTCACGCCATAGAATGTTGTTTCCCACAGCCAGCCATTTTCAATTTGACATAGTCCGGAATGCAGTAGATGCTCAATAAATCACTTGATACTGGGCCTCTATTTTTCCCCCTTTCCTATGGGGCTGTCTTCTGACCCCTACCCCACCAGGTGCTGGGGCTGCGAGACAAAGCCTGGCCTTGCTAAATAAGTGCTCTAGCACTGTGCTACCTCCTAGTCCTTTCTATTTTAATTAATTGATTAATTATTTTATTTTATTTTATTTTATTTTATTTTATTTTATTTTATTTTATTTTTGGTACCTGGAATCAAAGCGAAGGAGAGGCTTTGCTGCTGAACTTTATCCCCGGCTATTTTTATTTTTTGAGACAGGGTCACACTCAGTTGTCCAGATTGGCTTCAAGCTTGCCATCCTCCTGCCTCAGCCTCCTGGGTAGCTAAAATTACACGCACCACCATACTGTGCTCCCCAAACCTTTTATGCATGTTAGATCCACCAGTACTCAGACACAGCCACTTTGCAGATGAGGAAACTGAGGCAAGGAGAGGTCACTGCTAGAGATCACAGAGGGCAGAGCCTGTATCTCAGGGTAGTCCCGCTCGGGAGAGTAGATGGTCCAAGACCCCCAACTCCGGAGCCTTCCCGCCCCTCCCCCTCAGCGAGCCCTGGGAGCCGCGGGCTCAGGAAAGGCCTGAGTCATCGCCGCCTCCAGGCGGCGGCGGCCGCGGGCCGAGGGCGACAGCGGCGGCGGCGGCGGCGCGAGGTGACGCGGGGACGCCAGGAGGGGGCGTGAGTGCGGGCAAAACAGAGGAAACGCCGCTGCCGGCTAGGCCGGGTGGGCGCCCGCGTGGTGAGCGCACTGCGCTTCTCTTCCCCAAAGGGGCGAACCCCGGAGCGGGTCCTCGGGCGTGGGGGACTGGAGGAAGGTTCCCAAGAGAAGTGCCCAAATGCGAGTCCTCGCCCCTGGCCCAGGTTCGAGTTGAGAGCGCGGCTGGCCCGAGACGCGCGTCCGAGGCTACCTCCGCTCCCCTGGGACCCCAGCCCTACCCTCCTCATTGTCCCGCCAGCCGCCTCCAGACTCCGCCACGCAGGGTGACTCTTGTCCCGACCACACAAGCTAGAGGTCCCCAGCGTATCCGGCACCGGGGAGCCCCTTTCTCCTGAGACCCCGGCGTTCTTTAGGTGCGCGGTGCTGGAGTGCTTGCGAATCTCTTTCTAGGGCTTAGGCGCAAGGGTCGCCCTTCTCACCAGCAGGTGGGTGGGGACTTGCGACTTCCATGCAGTCCCCTGCCAGCTCTGGGTGACCGAAAGGGGGCGGCTGTCTCGTTTGAGTGCGGGTTTGGAGAGGGGCTGCGCGCCTGGGGACCCGGGGATGCCGCGAGGGGCGGGGCCGGGGATGCCGAGGTGGTGGGGGCAGGGGTCAGCCAGTGGGGGGGGTCTGCCGCCCAGGGGGCGGGGCCTTTCGGGGGCGGGGCCGGACTCTGACGTCACGCGGCTGGAGGCGCCCGGCGCTGGGGGGGGACCACGGGGGGGCGGGGGCCGCCTTTATAAGCAGAGCGCGCCAGGCGCACCGAGCCGCAGCCCGCGTCCCCGCGACCCCCAGCCAGGCGCCGTCCTGGTCCCAACCCAGTCCTGTCCCGCGCTCTGGTCCCCATCACCCCACTCCACCCCTAGGGGACGGCTGGGTGGCGAGGGGCGACGGACGGAGCGCCTGCCTGGTGGCGGGCAGGACCCGGGCTGCGCGGCGGGGCATGAGGCGGGGGCGCGATGTCGGTGCCGCTGCTGAAGATTGGGGCTGTGCTGAGCACCATGGCCATGGTCACCAACTGGATGTCGCAGACGCTGCCCTCGCTCGTGGGGCTCAACGGCACCGTGTCCCGCGCGGGCTCCTCCGAGAAAATCGTGAGTGGCCGCCGCGCAGGAAAGGGGGGCGCTCCCGGGGGGGCGTGGTGCCACCCGTGTCGCCATCGCAGCCTCGGGGGTCTCCTCCCCTTGGTACCCTTCAAAGTACCCCGGCAATCCGGGGAGGAGGTCTTGAGGGAAACGGGCGCGGAGGGAGCCCCGGGACCCCAGCCGTCAGCGCGTTGTCTGGGTGACAGTCATCGATCGGGATCTGGATCGGCAGGGAGCAGAGCCCCGGTGCCAACCGCGGGCCGAGTCCGTTCCAGCCCCGGGCGGGGGCGGCCAGGGCTGCGGAATTGAGCCGGGTCCCAGTTGAGTGGGGCGGAGGGGGTAGGGTGGGAGCTGCCTCTGGACGAGCGTCTAGGGGTCTCCTGAGGTCTCCCCCTGAGGTTTAGGGGTCTCTACCTGATTCTGCCTAAGGGTCCCTGAGTAGTTCAATCGCTCTCTCTGGATCTCTATTTCTATCTCTCCTTGTCTCTGTCTCGCTGTTCTTGACTTTGTATCTCTTTCTGCCCCCCCTTCACTCTCTGTCCATGTGCCCAGTATTTGTCGCCATAAGTCGCCCACCCTGGGAACCAGATGGGGCTCCCCCCTGGGCTAGGATTGTCTGCACTCGGCCCCCTCCCTCATCCTTCTGTTTTCCTGGCTCCTAGTTCCCTGGGAGGGAGAAGAGGGGGCTCTCCATGGTGTCATGGAGGTGGTCCTGTTAAGTCGGGGCTTCCTCCCATCTGAACTTCCCTCAGCCTCCTGGCCTTCTTTCACCTCATCTTCCATCTGTGGGGTCTCCTCCCAATATAGGGGCCAGGATGCGACAGACACCCCCCTTCTGTTTATGTTGCCCCAACTTCTCCCACCTCCCCGCACGTTTAGTCCCAATAACCATTATACCCCTTCTGTCTCTCCCCTCACTGGAGGAAAAAAAAAAATGTCCAAGGGTTGCAAGCAAGTGTGGGGAGAGGTAGGAGGGGCAGGGGACAAGGTGCATCCACTGTGCCTGGGCTCAGCCCAGCCCCTGGGGAAGGTGGCACCGAGCTTGACACAAGTGTGAGCTTTCTGCTCAAATTCTCAGACTTGCAACCAGCGTGTGAAGCAGTGTCTTCTGTGTGTGTCACATCGAGTGGAGCTGTTGGGTACATTCTGGCGTGTGTCTTTGCATGTTTTCTGGTGTGTGTACTGGGGAGTTTTATGCATTGTCAATATGCTGGTCCAGTTCTGCGTGAGAGGGCATAGGCAGAATCAGTGTGGGTGTGTCCCCGGGTCAGTGTGTTTGGGTGTGGATGGATCTGAGTGTGTGCCTAGTTGTGTGTCCCTGGCTACGGTGTGTGTGTTACATGGTCATGTGTTTACATATGTGTTTGTATGTGTGTGGGGGGGGGTTGCTATTGTCATGTGAGGGGCAGAGAGATGGTGTTGCTGGAATCAGAAGCCAAATTCCCCTTCCCCGATGAGCGTGTGTGTGTGTGATGTGCAGATGTGTGTGTGTGTGAATGCAAGCAGGTGGGGTGTCCAGGGGATGTGTACATAAATGAGAACATGCCTGAGCCATGGCTGTGGTCATAGGTCCATGTCACTTTTGCATGTGCATGCTTTCTCTGCACATGGTGTAGACACATGGCTTGGTGAGTGTGCCTGCATGTGTGAGCGTGGGCTCGAGCGCCTTGCCTGCGTGTGGACACATGTGTGTGGGTTTCTGTGTGAGTGCTTGTGCCCAAACAGACCTGGCCCCCATTCGGGCTCCTTTGTAGCTGACGCTCCTTGATCCCAGCCTTCCAGGTCTGTGTGAAAGGTCACTTGCGTCCCTTTCCTAGCCCGTCTGCGCCTTCCCACAGGGCTGCATGCCGTGGGATGCTATAGGACTCAGGTGACAGCCTGGCAGAAGACTGTGGTATGCTCAGCAAAGGGCCTTGGGCATCTGATACATCTGTCTTAGAGTCTAGGTTGGCCCCCAGTTTGCTGTGTGAGTCTGGGTGAGTGACTGCACCACTCTGACTTACAGTGGTCTCATCTTTGTCTTTGAGGGAGAGACTCTGTATAATCCAAGCTGGCCTTGAATCCACTGTGTGGCCCACTGTGTTTGCTGGTCTCAAACTACAGTGATCCTCCTGCCTCAGCCTCCTAGTGCAGGGAACACAGGCATGTGCCACCACACCTCATCTTTAAAATGGAAATAATTCCACCTGACAGAACTGTCGTGGGTAACAGAGACCCATTGTCCAGGTCCCCATCCACCCATCCTGTGCTTCCCTCTGTCTCCTTCCATTCATTCATTCATCCATCCATCCATCCATCCATCCATCCTTCTCACTATTTCTCAATCCATCCATCCATCCATCTCACTATCTCCATCCATCCATCCTTTTCATTCTCAATCCATCCATCCATCCATCCATCCATTCATCCATCTCACTATCTCCATCCATCCATCCATCCTTCTCACTATCTCTCCATCCATCCCTCTGTCCATCTGTCCATCTGTCTGCCCATGCATCCATCCATCCATCCTTCTTACTATTTCTCCATCCGTCCATCCTTCTCACTATGTCCACCCATCTTCTATCTCTCAATCCACCCACTTCTATCTCTCAATCCATCCATCCTTCTATCTCTCCATCCATCCATCTCACTATGTCCACCCATCCATCCATCCATCCATCCATCCTTCTCACTATCTCTCCATCCATCTGTCTGTCCATCCATCCATCCGTCCATCTGTCCATCCATCCATCCGTCCTTCTCATTATGTCCACCCATCTTCTATCTCTCAATCCACCCACCTCTATCTCTCAGTCCGTCCATCCTTCTATCTCTCTGCCCATCCATCCATCCATCCATGTCACTATGTCCACCCATCCATCCATCCTTCTCATTATCTCTCCATCCATCTGTCCATCCATCCATCCATCCATCCATCCATCCATCCATCTGTTGTTCTCATTATTTGTCCATCTTGTCTATCCTTCCATCTGTCTCACCATCGATTGCACCTTCTCTTCATCCATCTCATCATGTGTCCCACCCACCATACCATCTGTCTGTGCATTCACCCACCTTACCATCCATCCATCCATCCATCCACCCATGATCTTATCCTCTATCTCTCCACCCATCCATCCATTGCTCTATCTCTCCACCCACCTTTATTCATCTTCTCATTTGTCTCGCTTTCCATCCATCTACCTCACTATCCCTCCATCCATCTATCCATTCTTTTATCATCTATACATCTATCCTTGCATCTGTTCTTTAATTCATCTCTCATCTAACTTATCTGCATTTTCAAAAAAAATTTTTTTTTTTTTTTTTGGAGTACTGGGGATCGAACTCAGGACCTTGCACTTGTCAGACAGGTGCTTATGCCGCTGAGCTATCTCCCCAGCTGTTTGCCTTTTCACCCATCCCTCATTCACTGTCCATCATTTATCCTTTCATGGACCCCATCTTTCTACCCATCTCTCTGCCCACACACTCACTGTTCCTCTGCCCACCCATTCTTCAGCACCCAGCCATCTCTTTATGATCTCTGCACCCATCCTTCCATACACTCGTATCCTCATTCAGCCATCTGCCAGCTCAGCCATCCTCACTTCCATCATATTTGTTCAACAGAACTACCAAGCATCTAATGCACCTGAAAACCCTGGCTCACTGCATCTCATAAGAGATGCTCAGTAGGGCTAAGACTTTGAGTCTGAGATACCTGACTTTGAATTTGATCCTGTAGTTTCCTAGCGGTGTGACCTTGCAGGAAATTATTTAATCTCTCTAAACTCGTTTCCTTATTAGTCAAGGAGAATTCAGTCTCCAGTAGACTAGAAGATCCACGAGGAAGTCTGAGATTTGCTTACTGCTGCTGAGCCTTAAGGCCTGACACTTAGGAAGCTTTTTTTTGGTAGTATTGGAGATACAACCCAGGATTCTCATATTAAGTTATATCCATAGCCCTCATCTTTCTTTTTTTTTTTAAATTTTATGTATTTGATGGGCCAGAGAGATAACTTGGTGGTCTAAGTGCCTGCCTGCCAAGTGCAAGGACCCGGGTTTGATCCCTGGTACCACATGCCATGCTGGCCCTGCATAGTGAGACCTTGTACTAAATGAATAAATAAATAAGTAAATGATTTTTAAAAAGAAAAAGAATAAAAAGGGCCAGGCTGGGGAGATAGCTCAGGACTGGGGAGATAGCTCAGTAGAATAAGCTCTTGCCTGGCAAGCACAGGGTCCTGAGTTCAATCCCTGGTACCACAAAAAAAAAAAAGGCTGGGGAGAGAGTGTTTAGCAGCATAAGCATCTGCCTGGCAAGCACAAGGTCCTGAGTTTGATCCCCAGTACTGGGGAAAAAAAAAGAAAGAAAAGAAAATATTTTTTTTAAATTATGTATTTGGGACCAGGTCTCGCTATGCAGCTCGGACTCATAGTGATCCCCATTTTCAGCCTCTCCAGTGCTAGGATCACAGGTGCGACACCACACCCAGTCTTGGTGACCAGCTTGGCACACCTGGCAAAGCATTTGGTACAGGGGATTGAACCCACGTCCTTGAGCTTGCCTAGGCAGGTGCTTGGTATGCTGAGCTATTTCCGTGGCCCTCATCTTTCTATTATCTATCTATCTATCTATCTATCTATCTATCTATCTATCTATGTTTTGTCTGTCTACCATCTACCTTCTATTTTCTGTCTATCTTGTCTGTCTGTCTGTCTGTCTGTCTGTCTGTCTGTCTATCTCTAGACAGGCTCGCATTAAGTTGCTGAGTTGCTCTGGTTGGGCTCAGGTTTGCAATCGTCCTGCCTCGGCCTCCTGACGGCTGGGACTGCAGGTGTGCACCGTCATGCCAGGCTTCTGATAGACTTAGGATGAATATTTGTCAAGTGGCCTAATCACCAACCGCACTCTCATACAGATTCTCAGGTTCCACCGCCAGATGGAAACAAAGGGCTCAGTAGGTGCTCAGCCAGGAGAGGTTGTAACCTTTGCCACCACAGCCAAGCACACAGTAGGTCTG